GCCACTGTAGCACGTAAAAAAGGGTAGGCGAGAACGGCACTAACAGTGGGTGATTACAGATGGAAAGAGCAAAGGTACGTAGTTAAAGCAATATAGTACCAACTCGACATTGTTGGACTCTCGTCAAAGAAGCGCCAAAAGTATCAAATCCTGAACCTCTGTGGGTGCAAATTATTCTACTCAGGCGTCGATATCACGACTCGCGCTCAGGCCGGTGTAGAACCAAACCTCGCACATAGAATCATTGATTGCAAGCCTGTCAAGGGAAGGGTGTCAATCATCCGAGTGAAGCTACAACAGGCTAAAGCGTTGACCTATGTACAGGTATATGCGCCCAATATACTGGCAGAATATGATTTCAACTTTGAGAAAGAGCAGTGCTCTCTACACGAAGCGCCGAATACGTAGTCACTCTTACTCTTGGGCGATTTTAATGCGCACGTCGGAGTAGACATTGAAAAGTGGAACGGCGTGATTTGGAAAAACGGCTCTAGCGACCTCAACAATATCGGCATGAAGATGTTGCGGTTTTGTGCAAACTACCGATTGTCCATTATGAACACGTTCTTCGAGCATCGAAAGTGCATCAGTGCATCTGGCACGGGGAAGCTTGTGCACAGAAGTCGATGATCGATTTGATAATCGCATCGTCTGACCTAAGACACTCAATAATAGATTTTCATGTCAATAGAGTCGCAGAGCTATCAGCCGATCATGACCTTGTTGTTGGCACGCTACGCTGTAAGAAATGGAGTACCATGAGAAGATAGGTGACAGAAGCAAAGAGGAAATCAAATCGGAACCAATACCTTCGATGGACACGAGAGCGAAATTTGCAGACAACATCGCATGACGGTTAGAACAGATCCCGGTAATGACTAGTGACGTAGAAACAGAGTGGCAGCCATTTAAGAGTGGCATACTCGAGGTATCTGCCGAACGCTGCGGATTTAATTTGTTGGCCTGGCGCTGCGTGTCAGGAAAGATCTTCTTGGTGGACATGCGAAGTGGAACCGAAATTTCAAGAGAAGAAAACAGCGTTCAAGAAATGGCTTGGAAACAAAGAGCTTTCTGCTCGTATGCGATATGTCAAGACACGGAAGGTGGCAGTAAAAGCAGTGGCGAATGCCGAAGCTGATACCTGGAAGAAGTTAGGTGCAGTGTTGCAGTCGAATGTCCACATAGCGAACATGGTATTCTGGCAGATTATTCGCCGGCTCCGAGATCAAAAGGAGAGTGGTCTCAGAGTCTCAAGGAACAGATCGGACACCCTCTTATCGAGGATGAGGACATTTTTCCGCACGAGGGTGCTTTGAGTAATTCCTTCACTCCGAGCAGCCGCACTAAAACACGCTTGTAGAGCAGGCTGGAACGGGCATTACTATCATTGTAAGTGACATTACACAAGCTTGAAAAATGGAAAGGCTGGTAAAATTGATGAAATCCGCTCTTAAACGTTCAAGGCATTAAGCGAACAAGGCATGTGGTGGCAAACACCTGTTTGTCCAACTGCGACGACTATGGGCAAGACGTCAGCGGACTGGAGAACCGAAGTTGTTGTACCCGTATTCAAGAAGAGAGACCACAAAGAATGCTCCAATTATAGGGCATTACTTTATTGAGCCTCCCAGGTAAAGTCTGCGCAAATTTGCTAGAAAGGTGGTGCCGTGAAATAGTTGAACTCAAAATCCAAGAAGAGCAGTGTTGCTTCCGGCTCGATGGAACAACATCTGAACATATATTTGCCCTGCGCCAGATTATTGAAAAATCATGGGAGTACGCCCATCCGGTGTGGATGTGTTTTGTTGACATAAAAAACCCGTTTTACCGGATCCCACGCAACAGTCCGTGGTCATGCCTTCGAGCATACGGGATAGATGGCTAGCTACTAAAGGTCATCCAATCACTGTATTCTGATAGCAGGTGCTGCGTCAGACTATATGGCGTTAAGTCGAAACAGTTCAATGTT